GGCCTCGGCAGGCCCCGGACCCTGGGCAGGGCCTCTCCGGGGCTGGGGTGGGTGCCCAGCACCAGCGCGTCCCGGAGGTCTCTGTTACGCACCCGTGGTCTTGTTGCTTTCGCTTGGTTTGTTGGGTTTGGCTTCGGCGCCTTGAGTCGAGGTCGGTTGCAGAAGAAGGTGTTCGGCCTCCCCTCCTGAGGGCCGGCCTGGTGATGGCCACCGCGCGCTGCGCTGCCTGCGTGACTTCTGTCGTCGAGCGCGCGTGTGTAGGCTTACCAACCGTTTGGGTTGGTCCGTAGTGCTCTTAGCTTGTGAAGTTTGTGCTGGTGATTTACCCCAGTTGGTATGGCTAAGTTGGAGCATATGTAGAAGTATGAGGATTTTGGTAAAAGCTCTTCAACAATTCAACTACGCCTAATTATTTATTGACTCTGGAACGTTTCAGAAGGTTTGGGTTCTCCCTCTCCCCTGTAGTTTTTCTAAGACAACATGAAGTTCCCCAAATACTTCTACTTTGGAAACCTTGGTACATGTAACAAAACTTCTTGTTTTTTTTTTCCATGGGTCCAGTATTTCCATTTATCAGTTTACTTCTTTACTTGAGATCACGAGGAGAGACTGTAGGCTGCTTTTTTACTGCTTTGATTTGCAGGAGGCACGTGCTGCCTAGGAGTAGTAGCTGCATGAGAAGCAGCGGTATGAGATCATCCTCAAGGCAGGCATCCTTCCTCTTGAGGTTTTAGTGTCTGAAACAGCCCCTCTGGCTGTTTGGGGAAGGCGAAGTTTGGTCATCATCACGTGCTGTGAAAGGGCAGGGCCTTTTGGTTACTTTTAAACTAGTTTAACAGGTACGAGAACTTTTCAGTAGAGTATTGAACCAAGCGTTGCCGGTGAGTGGGGTATACCTGTCTGAAGTGCAAAGTCCTGCTGAAATCCTCTTTTGTTCAGATGTCAGAAGACCGATGTGTAAAAGCTGATTCATGAGTTCCTCCTCTTTCCGACAAAGCTAACACAACTTTATGATGTTTCCCTAGGTTAAAGGCAACAGAAGTTGAAAACACCCTCCTCGCTTTGCTCCCGAGCCTCCCCACCCTCTTCACCATGGCTGGTGGCATTACTGACACAGGAGAGCTTTACTCTCCCTATGTAAGTACCGCTCTTTGTGGTTTTGCTCACAAGTCTTTTCAAAATCCTCTTCTCAGCATTGTGTTTTCATTTCCTGCTTCCCCATAGACATAACCTCAGTGTTTCAAGGGATGATGGAGGTCAAAGTGTACTTAAAAATGCTTGTACTTGGGTTTTTTTTTTTTTACGTCACAAATCCCTTTATATACTGTGAAGGGACGCTGTCTGCTTAAGGTATAGTTTAAAAAGTGTTAAAAAGAGCTTCATGCCCCACACCAGCTCCTCCATCCTTCTGCCCGCTTTCCTTGTATTTTGCTAATGTTTTCATCAACCCAATTGTCACGTGAAGCTAGCATAAACGGGGGGATTGTGATGTGGAAACTGTCCCGCTTTGCTTCTCATTTCTTACTTTATATAAACGTTTTCCTCTGAGTTTCTTAAAGTTTACTTATTTGTAGCTGTTGTAGTAATTTGTTTTAAACCACTTCACTTATAACCAGTAATCAAGATGTTTCTTCCTTGTGATGTGGTGTCCTGTGAAACTGCAGAACCAATTACTGTTTTACCATGTTGCTGGAAATACTGGTTTTCATAGCCACAAGCGTTCGTATAGCGTCAGCTCTTAAAAACAGTGCTTTGCGTACGCTTTTTTTTCCTGAGTGAACTCACAGATCACTAAAGATAGAACCGGTCCTGAAATCTGTGTGTTGGCATTCAAATACTTTAAAACTTTCATCCCCATGTTAATGACTGAATTTAGAAGAACTGGATATTAGGCTGCAGAAATAGGTCGCAACTGAGAAAACAGAGAACAAGACGGTAACTGGGACGTCTGGACCCTGAAGGATTAGTTGCTCTTATGTTATGTTAGTGTTGCATGAATTTTCTAGAGTCTAATCTCAAAGGCTATGACTCTCTCCTCTTCC